GTGTGTCTATGTGTATCTATGTGGGTCTCTGTGTATCTCTATGGGTCTCTGTGGGTCTCTGTGCGTCTATGTGGGTCTCAGTGTATCTCTATGGGTCTCTGTGGGTCTCTGTGTGTCTATATGTATCTCTATGGGTCTCTGTGTATCTCTATGGGTCTCTGTGTATCTCTGTGGGTCTCTGTGTATCTCTATGGGTCTCTGTGTATCTCTGTGGGTCTCTGTGTATCTCTGTGAGTCTCTGTGTATCTCTGTGGGTCTCTGTGTATCTCTATGGGTCTCTGTGTATCTCTATGGGTCTCTGTGTATCTCTGTGGGTCTCTGTGTATCTCTGTGGGTCTCTGTGTATCTCTATGGGTATCTGTGTGTCTCTGTGTATCTCTGTGTGTATCTCTGTGGGTATCTGTGGGTCTCTGTGTATCTCTGTGGGTATCTGTGTATCTCTATGGGTCTCTGTGTGTCTCTGTGTATCTCTGTGTGTATCTCTGTGTGTCTCTGTGGGTCTCTGTGGGTCTCTGTGTATCTCTGTGGGTCTCTGTGGGTCTCCGTGTGCTACCGCATAGCAACTCAGTGGGACCTTACACCTGCTAACAATATACCATGGTTGAGTTTCATCTGTGGGTCTCTGTGTTTCTCTGTGGGTCTCTGTGGGGCTCTGTGTGTCTCTGTGGGTCTCTACGTGTCTATATGGGTCTCTGTGTATCTCTATGGGTCTCTACGTGTCTATATGGGTCTCTGTGTATCTCTGTGGGTCTCTGTGTATCTCTATGGGTCTCTGTGTATGTCTATTCGTCTCTCTGTGTCTCTGTGGGTCTCTGTGTATCTCTGTGGGTATCTGTGTGTCTCTGTGGGTCTCTGTGTATCTCTGTGGGTCTTTGTGTGTCTCTATGGGTCTCTGTGTATCTCTGTGGGTCTCTGTGTATCTATGTGGGTCTCTGTGTATGTCTATGGGTCTCTGTGGGTCTCTGTGTGCTACCGCATAGCAACTCAGTGGGACCTTACACCTGCTAACAAAATACCATGGTTGAGTTTCATCTGTGGGTCTCTGTGTATCTCTGTGGGTCTCTGAGTATCTCTGTGGGTCTTTGTGTGTCTCTATGGGTCTCTGTGTATCTCTGTGGGTCTCTGTGTGTCTCTGTGTATCTTTATGGGTCTCTGTGGGTCTCTGTGTGCTACCGCATAGCAACTCAGTGGGACCTTACACCTGCTAACAATATACCATGGTTGAGTTTCATCTGTGTATCTCTATGGGTCTCTGTGTGTCTCTGTGGGTCTCTGTGGGTATCTGTGTGTCTCTGTGGGTCTCTACGTGTCTATATGGGTCTCTGTGTATCTCTATGGGTCTCTGTGGGTCTCTGTGTGTCTATATGGGTCTCTGTGTATCTCTGTGGGTCTCTGTGTATCTCTATGGGTCTCTGTGTGTCTCTATGGGTCTCTGTGTATCTCTGTGGGTCTCTGTGTATGTCTATGGGTCTCTGTGTGTCTATATGGGTCTCTGTGTATCTCTGTGGGTCTCTGTGTGTCTCTATGGGTCTCTGTGTATCTCTGTGGGTCTCTGTGTATCTCTGTGGGTCTCTGTGTATCTCTGTGGGTCTCTGTGTATCTCTGTGTGCTACCGCATAGCAACTCAGTGGGACCTTACACCTGCTAACAATATACCATGGTTGAGTTTCATCTGTGGGTCTCTGTGTGTCTCTATGGGTCTCTACGTGTCTCTGTGTGTCTCTGTGGGTCTCTGTGTGTCTCTTTGGGTCTTTGTGTGTCTATATAGGTCTCTGTGTGTCTATGTGTATCTCTGTGTGTCTATGTGGGTCTCTGTGGGTCTCTGTGCGTCTATGTGGGTCTCAGTGTATCTCTGTGGGTCTCTGTGTATCTCTATGGGTCTCTGTGTATCTCTGTGGGTCTCTGTGTATCTCTATGGGTCGCTGTGTATCTCTATGGGTCTCTGTGTATCTCTATGGGTCTCTATGTATCTCTATGGGTCTTTGTGTGTCTCTATGGGTCTCTATGCATCTTTATGGGTCTCTGTGTATCTCTATGGGTCTCTACGTGTCTCTATGGGTCTCTGTGTATCTCTATGGGTCTCTGTGTATCTCTATGGGTCTTTGTGTATTTCTATGGGTGTCTGTTTATCTCTATGGGTCTCTGTGTATCTATATGGGTCTCTGTGTCTCTATGGGTCTCTGTGTATCTCTATGGGTCTCTCTGTATCTCTATGGGTCTCTGTGTATCTCTATGGGTCTCTGTGTATCTCTATTGGTCTCTGTGTATCTCTATGGGTCTCTGTGTATCTCTATGGGTCTATGTGTATCTCTATGGGTCTCTGTGTCTCTGTGGGTCTCTGTGTCTCTATGGGTCTCTCTGTATCTCTATGGGTCTCTCTGTATCTCTATGGGTCTCTATGTATCTTTATGGGTCTCTATGTATCTCTATGGGCATCTGTGTATCTCTATGGGTCTCTGTGTATCTCTATGGGTCTCTATGTATCTCTATGGGTCTCTATGTATCTCTATGGGTCTCTGTGTATCTCTATGGGTCTCTGTGTATCTCTATGGGTCTCTGTGTATCTCTATGGGTCTCTGTGTATCTCTATGGGTCTCTGTGTATCTCTATGGGTCTCTATGTACCTCTATGGGTCTCTATGTATCTCTATGGGTCTCTATGTATTGGTCACCCCGTGCCCCTCATACATCTGAACGTTCATCCTCGACAAAGTCCCGCCACGAGGGAGAAACACAAACACAGAGACACATTTTATTATTTTGTTCGGACTGAAACGGATGTAGGCCGCATGGAAATGAAAACTTCCCTGTACAAGAATACGGAGTGAGCCACATGGGTTGACAGCTATGTAGTGGTGTATAGTGTAGTGTATAGTGTAGTGTAGTGTATAGTGTAGTGTAGTGTGTAGTGTGTAGTAGTGTAGTGTAGTGTGTAGTGTAGTAGTGTATAGTGTAGTGTATAGTGTAGTGTATAGTAGTGTAGTGTATAGTGTAGTAGTGTATAGTGTAGTGTATAGTAGTGTAGTGTATAGTAGTGTAGTGTATAGTGTAGTAGTGTATAGTGTAGTGTATAGTAGTGTAGTGTATAGTGTAGTGTATAGTAGTGTAGTGTGTAGTGTAGTGTATAGTAGTGTGTAGTGTAGGGTATAGTGTAGTGTATAGTGGTGTATAGTGTAGTGTAGTAGTGTATAGTAGTGTAGTGTATAGTGTAGTTTATAGTGTAGTGTATAGTGTAGTGTATAGTAGTGTAGTGCATAGTAGTGTATAGTAGTGTATAGTAGTGTAGTGTATAGTGAGTGTATAGTGTAGTGTATAGTAGTGTATAGTGTAGTGTATAGTGTAGTGTATAGTAGTGTAGTGTATAGTGTAGTGTATAGTGTAGTGTATAGTAATATAGTGTATAGTGTAGTGTATAGTGTATAGTATAGTGTAGTGTATAGTGTAGTGTATAGTAGTATAGTGTATAGTGTAGTGTATAGTAGAGTAGTGTATAGTGTAGTGTATAGTGTAGTGTATAGTGTATAGTATAGTGTAGTGTATAGTGTAGTGTATAGTAGTATAGTGTATAGTGTAGTGTATAGTGTATAGTATAGTGTAGTGTATAGTGTAGTGTATAGTAGTATAGTGTATAGTGTAGTGTATAGTAGAGTAGTGTATAGTGTAGTGTATAGTAGTGTAGTGTATAGTGTAGTGTATAGTGTAGTGTATAGTGTATAGTGTAGTGTAGTGTGTAGTGTATAGTGTAGTGTATAGTGTATAGTATAGTGTAGTGTATAGTGTAGTGTATAGTGTAGTGTATAGTAGTATAGTGTATAGTGTAGTGTATAGTGTAGTGTATAGTAGTGTAGTGTATAGTGTAGTGTATAGTGTATAGTGTAGTGTAGTGTGTAGTGTATAGTGTAGTGTATAGTGTAGTGTATAGTAGTGTAGTGTATAGTGTAGTGTATAGTGTAGTGTATAGTGTAGTGTATAGTAGTGTAGTGTATAGTGTAGTGTATAGTGTAGTGTATGTATTCTTGTGCAGGGAAATTGAGTTTGCAGGTCCATACTATACACTACACTACTATACACTATACACTACTATACACTACACTACTATACACTTTTATACATTACACTACTATACACTATACACTACTATACACTACACTACTATACACTATACACTACTATACACTACACTACTATACACTATTCACTACTATACATTACACTACTATACACTATACACTACTATACACTACACTACTATACAGTATACACTATACACTACTATACACTACACTACTATACACTATACACTACTTCTTCTTGTGCGGCAGACTTCGCGCCAATCTTGCGTCCTTGTGTCATCAGAACGGGCGCCATTGGAAGCTTCTCTTCCATCCCCTTGCGTCGAAGGGAGCCTTCCATAGGGAAGTTGAGTCCAGGAGTGTCCTCGCTTTGCGTTAGAGACGTTTGGCCAGGTCTTTTTGAGCGGCAAAGATTTTGCGTTCCGTAGATTTTGGGGGGGCGCGGTAGTTTTTGTTTATAATCAACGTTTTTTGGGGGGTGAGATCGCGTTATTTATAAATGTGTCGTAACCCTCCACCACCCGACACGGACAATCAGCAAAAAAAGTTTCACGTTGACAAAAGACAAAATAGTTCACTGCTTGAACTATTTGTCTTTTGTCAACGTTGATTTTGAATAATATTGGTCGCGAAAACCTTCGTGTTAAATTGATAGTTGTTGTAGTAGGTTTTTACCGATTAAACTGGTACAAAACTGACACCATTATTCAAGGCATCATGTTTGCAATAAGCACAACACAATCAGTCAAAATGCAAACAAAAAGAAACAACTCTGATGATGGTAATGATATGCACTGTCCTTGAAGTTGATTGGTCCACACCCGAGACAGCTTTCCTTAGAGCCTAGTCTCTATTGGTGTTGGACCAGATGACGCCAAAAGGCACACAACTCAAAGACAGCGCACTATCAGAGTACGAGAGCTCGGGGTGAAGCATTTACACCATTGGAACCTCATTTGCCAGTAAAAAATATGATAATTGTTTTTTTTACCCTTTTATCTGGCAACAAAACCGACATCTTTATACATGGCGTCATGTTTGCCATTATCAGAGTTGTTTCTTTTTGTTTGCATTTTGACTGCTTGTGTTGCGGTTATTGCAAACACGATGCCTTGTATGAAGGCGTCAGTTTTGTACCAGTTTAAAGGGTAAAAATCTATTACTATATTTTGCCACTGGTAAAGGGGATGTCTCATAGTGTAAACTGGTAGTTATTGTTTGTTTTTGACACATTTCTTGTGCAGTGTGCAAACGTCGTGAGAATTATTTTATTATGTTTTATTTTTATTATTGTATTACTTCCCTTCTACGTGACTTTACCGAAAGAACCAAGAAGATGAATCCCTGCAGTCACAAAAGCTTTAAATCAAAAATTAACAGAGTATTGTGTTTTTGTTTGCATTTGACTGCAAGTATTGTGGTTAATGTAGACATAATTCATTGCAAAAGGTGTCAGTTTTGTTGCCAAAAAATGGGAATAACCCTATTAGTATAGTTTGTGGACAGTAGTTTTGGCACAGTAGTGACATGTTTGTAGTAGTCTTTTTCACAATAGCGACAAGTGTTTGTACCGTAGTTTTTGCACAGCAGAGCCACTTTTTTTTACAGTGGTTTTTAAATCCTTTATATTAAGTTCGCTTGCTTGCTTGCTTAGGACCGTGCAAATCTTTCGGTCGTTTTTTAACCCACTTCCCGTGATCCAATCGAGCTGACATTTTGCACACAGACTCGTTGTGCGTGACAATGTATTTTAGTAAAAAAAATGTCAAAAATTTTCAACATTTTAGGGGAAAAAAAAATATTTAATTACCAATTGCTTAATGGTGCAATGCAATAATCTGACCCATAGGTGGCAGCCATCTCAAGCCAGAGGACGAGAGGACTCGAGCCGCCCCGATGCCACGCATATAAAGGATTTATAGTGAAAAACTTTGTTTTTACGGGTTTACTTATTTTAAATCCTTTATATTAAGTTCACTTGCTTGCTTGCGCGCTTACGACCATGCAAATCTTTCGGTCGTTTTTTAACCCACTTCCCGTGATCCAATCGAGCTGACACATTTTGCACACAGACTCGTTGTGCGTGACAATTAATTTTCGTGAAAAAAATGTCCATAACTTTACACTTTTTAGGATTTTTTAATATATATTTAATTACCAATTGCTTAATGGTGGCAGGCAATCATCTGACCCATAGGTGGCAGCCATCTCAAGCCAGAGGACGAGAAGACTCTAGCCGCCACGCATATAAAGGATTTATAGTGAAAAACTTTGTTTTTACGGGTTAATTTTTTCACATTAGTGACACGTTTTGTGTACAGCAGTTTATCCATAGTAGCAACACGTTTTTGCACAGTAGATTTTGCACAGTAGTGACACGTTTTTTAGTAGTTTTTTGCATAGTAGTGACACGTTTTGTGTACAGCAGTTTTTCCATAGTAGTAACACGTTTTTGCACAGTAGTTTTTGCATAGTAGTGACACGTTTTTTAGTCGTTTTTTGCATAGTAGTGACACGTTTTGTGTACAACAGTTTATCCATAGTAGTAACACGTTTTTGCACAGTAGTTTTTGCATAGTAGTGACACGTTTTTTAGTAGTTTTTTGCATAGTAGTGACACGTTTTGTGTACAGCAGTTTTTCCATAGTAGTAACACGTTTTTGCACAGTAGATTTTGCACAGTAGTGACACGTTTTTTAGTAGTTTTTTGCATAGTAGTGACACGTTTTGTGTACAGCAGTTTATCCATAGTAGTAACACGTTTTTGCACAGTAGATTTTGCACAGTAGTGACACGTTTTTTAGTCGTTTTTTGCATAGTAGTGACACGTTTTGTGTACAGCAGTTTTGCCATAGTAGAGACACGTTTTGTGTACAGCAGTTTTTCCATAGTAGTGACACGTTTTTGCACAGTAGATTTTGCACAGCAATGAGTCGTTTTGTGGACAGTAGTTTTTTTTCACAATAGCTCCAAGTGTTTGTACCGTAGTTTTTCCACAGCAGTGCCACTTTTTTTACAGTGTTTTTTTGCACATTAGTGACGCGTTTTTTGTTGAGTAGTTTGGCACAGTGGTGACACGTTCTTGTAGTCGTTTTTGCATAGTAGTGACGCGTTTTTTTGTCGTTTTTTGCATAGTAGTAACACGTTTTTGCACAGTAGATTTTGAACAGTAGTGACACGATTTGTGTACAGTAGTTTTTGAACAGTAGTAACACGTTTGTGTACAGTAGTTTTTGCACAGCAGTGACACGATTTGTGTACAGTAGTTTTTGAACAGTAGTAACACGTTTGTGTACAGTAGTTTTTGCACAGCAGTGACACGATTTGTGTACAGTAGTTTTTGAACAGTAGTGACACCTTTGTGTACAGTAGTTTTTGTACAGTAGTGAGTCGTTTTTTGTACAGTAGTTTTTGCACAGCGGTGACACGTTTGTGTACAGTAGTTTTGGTACAGTAGTGAGTCGTTCTTTGTACGGTAGTTTTCGGCACAGTAGAGACACGTTTGTGTACAGTAGTTTTTGCACAGTAGTGACTCGTTTTTTGTACAATAGTTTTTGTACAGTAATGACACGTTTGTGTACAGTAGTTTTTGTACAGTAGTGACGCTATTCTTTGCACGCTCGTTAACGCCACGCTCGTTTCTTTTCTTTGCTTGCTGCGACATTTTTTTTGGGGGCGGGTGGCACAGCGGGTTTTGGTTACAGCGCAGTCGTGCCGAATATCTGTACAGGAAGCTTTCGTACAGTCGTACCGAGTCGCTGCTGTTTGTACGCTGCTGCTTGTGTTGTTGTTGTTGTTGTAAAGTGGATCCCCAAAGCGTCATCATCGTCGTCGAGGTCACAATGGCGAGGCTCCGGTTACCCGGGGCGCGAACCCGCACGCAGTTGTCGACCGAAACATTTAACTCCACAACAGAGCGTTTTTTTTGGGGGGGGGGGTTGTTTCGAGTGCGTAAATATACGAAAGTTTCACTAAAACCCACCACCACCCGACGCAGCCAACTGGTAAAGGGTTGTCACGTAAACAGAACATGCCAATTCGTCACTAGCACAGCACTGGTGCAGTTAGTTCTTTCGGTAAAGTCACGCGACTTTACCGCGGAGGATGTCCGGTGGCCGTCGCCACGTAGCAGCGGCGGTAGCAGCGGCGGTAACAGCCGGGGCGGTAGCAGCCGGGCCAGTAGCCGGGGCCGTAGCAGCGGCAGTAGCAGCGGCAGTAGCAGCCCTCACACATCCGTGTGGCAAAAGTCCACGGTGGCGGTGGTGGCGACGACGACGGTACCGGCGTTGTTGTTGTTGCGTCGCCCTTCGACCCCCGCCGACGGGCGCGTCTTCGACTTGTCGGCCGCCCCGTCCTCCCCCTCCACGAACATGTCGCCGATCTCCAGCAAATCCGCGAGGCTCCTACCCTCCTTCTTTTTGGAGTCCGTCGCCAAGTCTTGCCCGGTGCCGGTGCCGGCGCCGGTCCCGCCGGCTGTCCCACCGGCGGCTGCGGGCACGGTGTAGTAGAGCGTGGTGTCCTCCTCGCGCGCCTTGCCCAGGTGGTAGAAGTAACTGAAGTTGCTGACGATGACCGGCACGGGCAGCGAGATTGTGAGCACGCCGGCGAGCGCGCACAGCGAGCCCACCAGCTTGCCGCCCACCGTGATGGGGTACATGTCGCCGTAGCCCACCGTGGTCATGGTGACGACGGCCCACCAGAAGGCGTCGGGGATGCTCCGGAAGGACGTGCGCGGGATGTCCGCCTCGGCGAAGTAGACGGCGCTCGAGAAGATGACGACGCCGATGAAGAGAAAGAAGATGAGCAGCGCCAGCTCCTTGAGGCTGGCCTTGAGCGTCTGCCCCAGGATCTGGAGGCCCTTGGAGTGGCGCGACAGCTTGAAGATGCGGAAGACGCGCACGAGCCGGACGACGCGGAACACGGCGAGGGTCGTCGCGTGGTGAGACCCGCCCTGCAGCTCGAGGAGTTCGGTGGCGAGGGCGACGAAGAAGGGGACGATGGCGACGACGTCGATGACGTTGAGGAGGCCCTTGAAGAAGGTCGCCTTGCTCGGCGACGACAGGAAACGCGCGAGCAGCTCGAAGGTGAACCACACGATGCAGACGGCTTCGACGACGAAGAAGGGGTCCGTGAACATCGCCCGGGCCGCCCGGTGGGGCGTCCCGCCCGTGCCGTTGGAGGGCGCGGCCGTGACGGCGGCGGCGGCGGCGGCGGGCACGGCCACGCCGGGCACCTCCCGCGCCTCCCTGAAGCGTGGCAGCGTCTCCATGCAGAAGACGACAATGGAAGCGATGACGACGGCGACGGAGATGAGCGCGACGCCCTTGGCGGCCGAAGAGCTCTCGGGGTACTCGAAGAGGAGCCACACCTGGCGCTGGAGGCGGCCGGCCGGCAGCGGCTTCTCGGGCTCGCGGGCCAGCCCCTCGTCGTCACGGAACCTCGCCATCGCGCCCTCGCCCAGCTGGTAGAAGCGGATCTCCTCGGCGAAGATGTCCACCGACACGGAGTCGGGCCGCCTGAGCCGCCCGCCCGACTGGTAGTAGTAGAGGATCGAGTCGAAGCTGGAGCGGTTGCGGTCGAAGAAGTACTCGTTGTTGCGGGCGTCGAAGTACCGCCGGCGCTTGCGCGAGTCGCCCAGGAGGGTGCGCGGGAAGCGCGACAAGGTGGCGCGCTGCGTCTCGAAGCGGAGGCCCGAGACGTTGATGACGATGCGGTCGAAGAAGTTGCAGCCGCCGCCGCCGCCGCCGCAGCAGCCGCCGTTCTTGAGCGCGGCTTTCAGCGGCTCGTCACTCGTCGCATCGTCCGCGGCCATGCTGCCCCCCAGAGTGCCGGCCGGACCGCGGCCGCCCACGAAAACTCCTGAATCAGCCGCTGGCTCGCCGGGTGACTCGCTCGCTCGCTCGCTGGGTGACTCGCTCGCTCAATGGATCACTGACAAAGGCAGTGGCTCGGTCAGCGACTCACTTGACAAAGTTACAATGTCACTAAGTCACTCGACGACTCGCTCACAATGTCACTAACTTACTCAATGACTCAGTCACAATGTCACTAACTCACTCAATGACTCACTCGCAATGTCACTAACTCACTCAATGACTCAGTCACAATGCCACTAACTCACTCGGATGACTCACTCGCAATGTCACTAACTCACTCAATGACTCAGTCACAATGTCACTAACTCACTCAATGACTCACTCGCAATGTCACTAACTCACTCAATGACTCACTGGCAATGTCACTAACTCACTCAATGACTCACTGGCAATGTCACTAACTCACTCAATGACTCAGTCACAATGTCACTAACTCACTCAATGACTCACTGGCAATGTCACTAACTCACTCAATGACTCAGTCACAATGCCACTAACTCACTCAATGACTCAGTCACAATGCCACTAACTCACTCAATGACTCACTGGCAATATCACTAACTCACTCAATGACTCAGTCACAATGCCACTAACTCACTCAATGACTCAGTCACAATGCCACTAACTCACTCAATGACTCAGTCGCAATGTCACTAACTCACTCGCTGACTCAGTCACAATGTCACTAACTCACTCAATGACTCAGTCACAATGTCACTAACTCACTCAATGACTCAGTCACAATGTCACTAACTCACTCAATGACTCAGTCGCAATGTCACTAACTCACTCGCAATGTTACTAACTCACTCAATGACTGAATCACAATGTCACTAACTCACTCAATGACTCAGTCACAATGCCACTAACTCACTCAATGACTCAGTCGCAATGTCACTAACTCACTCACAATGTCACTAACTCACTCAATGACTCACTCACAATGTCACAAACTCACTCAGTGACTCGCTCAAAGGGACACTAACTCACTCCCTAACTCACTCACTCCCTAAATCACTCACTCCCTAACTCACTCACTCCCTACTTTACTCACTCACTAACTCACTCGCTCATTAACTCACTCCCTAACTCACTCCCTAACTCACTCCCTAACTCACTCCCTAATTCACTCACTCCCTACTTTACTCACTCACTCCCTAACTCACTCCCTAATTCACTCACTCACTCCCTAACTCACTCCCTAATTCACTCACTCCCTAACTCACTCACTCCCTACTTTACTCACTCACTCACTCCCTAACTCACTCGCTCATTAACTCACTCACCACAAACTCACTAACTCACTCACCAACTCACCCACTAACTCACCCACTAACTCACTCACTAGCTCACTCACCACAAACTCACCCACCAACTCACCAATAACTCACTCACTAGCTCACTCACCCACAAACTCACTCACTCACCAACCCACTCACTCACCAACTCACTAACTCACTCACCCACTAACTTACTCGCTAACTCACTCACTAGCTCACTCACCCACAAACTCACTCACTCCCTCCTCCTGCCTCTGATCGCACCTCACTGACTGACTGACAGACCCACCACCCCCCCTACACCCCCATCGAGTAACCCCCCAATACACCGCACCACCACCGCACCACCACAACCACCACCACTACCACCACCACTACCACACCACCACCACCACCACACCACCACCACCACCACACCACCACAAAGTCTATCGGTGATGTCTGTTGACGATGTCCATCAGCGATGACGCGAGTTGAATTCCGTGCAAAGAAAATCGGTTCTCCCCGTCCCGGCCCGCACCCCCAAAAAATATCAAAAATCGATCGATTCTTCTTCGATCAGGGGGGGGTAGAGGGGGGGTAGAGGGGGGGGGGGGTAGAGGGGGGGGGTAGAGGGGGGGGTAGAGGGGGGTAGAGGGGGGGGATGCTGGAGTTTCCTCGTCACTAGACCTGACGCACAGAAACTTGTCAGGAGCAGAAGCAGCAAAATCCACGTCCCAGGGCTGCTGGTGGTGGTGGTGGTCCCAGACAAACGCTGCTGCTGATGATGATGCTGAAGATGCTGCTGCTGATGATGATGCTGCTGAAGATGCTGCTGCTGCTAATGATGCTGATGATGCTGCTGATGATAATGCTGAAGATGCTGCTGCTGCTGATGCTGCTGAAGATGCTGCTGCTGATGATGCTGTTGATGATAATGCTGTTGTTGATGATGCTGATGATGCTGATGATGGTGCTGATGATGCTGATGATGATGCTGATGATGATGATGCTGATGATGATGCTGCTGATGCTGCTGCTGATGATGCTGCTGATGATGATGCTGCTGATGCTGATGATGATGCTGATGATGCTGCTGATGATGATGCTGATGATGATGCTGCTGATGCTGCTGCTGCTGATGCTGCTGCTGAGTGAAGAATCGCTGGGGACACTGCGGAAGAACCCTCGCTTTGCTCGTCCGTGTGGAAGACGCGGAGGGGGGGAGGGTGGTTAGAGACACCACCACCACCGTCACCACCACCGTCACCACCACCACCGTCACCACCACCACCACCGTCACCACCACCACCGTCACCTCCTGCCTCTTGTCCCAACAGGTGCGAGAAGAAATTCAAAATGAAATCCGAGGTGGAGCTGCGGGTCCCGTTTGAAGGCACCTCCCGTCCACTCACTGGCTCCTGCCTCAGTCTCGGACAACTCCTGGGCAGGCTGGCTCATGGGCAGGCTGGCTCATGGGCAGGCTGGCTCATGGGCAGGCTGGCTCATGGGCAGGCTGGCTCATGGGCAGGCTGGCTCATGGGCAGGCTGGCTCATGGGCAGGTTGTCTCCTGGGCAGGCTCCTGGGCAGGCTGGGCAGGCTGGCTCATGGCAGCAGGTTCCTGGGCAGGCTGGCTCATGGGCAGGCTGGCTCCTGGGCAGGCTCCTGGGCAGGCTGGCTCATGGGCAGGCTCATGGGCAGGCTCATGGGCAGGCTCCTCGGCAGGCTCCTGGGCAGCTGGCTCATGGGCATCCTGGGCAGGCTGTCTTATGGGCAGGCTCCTGGGCAGGCTGGCTCATGGGCAGGCTGGCTCCTGGGCAGGCTCCTGGGCAGGCTGGCTCATGGGCAGGCTCGTGGGCAGGCTGGCTCATGGGCAGGCTGGCTCCTGGGCAGGCTCCTGGGCAGGCTGGCTCATGGGCAGGCTCATGGGCAGGCTCCTGGGCAGGCTGGCTCATGGGCAGGCTCATGGGCAGGCTCATGGGCAGGCTCCTCGGCAGGCTCCTGGGCAGGCTGGCTCATGGGCAGGCTCCTGGGCAGGCTGTCTTATGGGCAGGCTCCTGGGCAGGCTGGCTCATGGGCAGGCTGGCTCCTGGGCAGGCTCCTGGGCAGGCTGGCTCATGGGCAGGCTCGTGGGCAGGCTGGCTCATGGGCAGGCTGGCTCCTGGGCAGGCTCCTGGGCAGGCTCATGGGCAGGCTCATGGGCAGGCTCCTGGGCAGGCAGTGGGCAGGCAGTGGGCAGGCTGGCTCGGGGTGGACTGTCGGTTGAAATCGCGACCGAAAGCAAACACTGCCCAGGATGTACCCTCGGTAACCCACCACCGCCACCACCACCACCGCCCCCACCACCACCACCACCACCACTGCCACCACCGCCACCACCACGGTACTATTTTAGCACCGACAACCACCCGGCAGCCACGACCCCACGGCACGAGAGAGAAAAAAAGAGAGAAGCTATCACGCTCGAGGCATCCGTGGGGGTTCCGCGAGCCAAGAGGCGGACGCGGACGCGACCTCTGGGCGCGTGCCGGTTCGCGTAAACAAAAACCAACACTACTACCGCTATCAACACCCACCACTTACTACTACCACTATCAACACTACCTACCACCACTACTACCACTACTACTACAACCCACCCACCCACCACTACTACCACTACTACAACCACCACTACTACAACTACTACTACCACTACTACTACAACCCACCCACCCACCACTACTACAACTACTATCAACACCACCTACCACTACTACCACTACCAACACCACCACCCACTACTACTACTAACACCACCACTCACCACTACTACTACCACCACTACTACCACTACTACCACTACTACCACTACTACAACCCACCCACCCACCACTACTACCACTACTACCACCACTACTACCACTATCAACACCATCCACCCACCCACCACTACTACCACTACTACCGACACCCCCACCCACCCACCACTACTACTACCACCACCACCCACCACCACCCACCACCACCACCCACCACCACCCACCACCACCCACCACCACCACCACCCACCACCACCCACCACCACCCACCCACTACCACCACCACCCACCACCACCACCACCATCCACCACCACCACCACCACCCACCACCACCACCCACCACCACCCACCACCACCCACCCACTACCACCACCACCCACCACCACCACCCACCACCACCACCACCACCCACCACCACCACCACCACCCACCCACTACCACCCACCACCACCAACTGCTCGAGGCGCCGTGCCCGCCAAGACACGGGCTCTCAGCTACCCACTCACCCACCTGGTTGCTCACCCACCCACCTGTTCACTCACCCACCTACCCACTCACCCACCTGGTCGCTCACCCACCCACCTGTTTGCTCACCCACCTACACACACACCCGTTCACTCACCCACCTACCCACTCACCCAGCTGTTCGCTCACCCGTTCACTCACCCACCCACCTGTTCACTCACCCACCTACCCACTCACCCAGCTGTTCGCTCACCCGTTCACTCACCCACTCACCCACCTGTTCGCTCACCCACCTACCCACCCACCCAGCTGTTCGCTCACCCGTTCACTCACACCTGTTCACTCACCCACCTACCCACTCACCCAGCTGTTCGCTCACCCGTTCACTCACCCACTCACCCACCTGTTCACTCACCCACCTACCCACTCACCCAGCTGTTCGCTCACCCGTTCACTCACCCACTCACCCACCTGTTCACTCACCCAGCTACCCACTCACCCACCTGTTCGCTCACCCACCTACCCCCTCACCCACCTGTTCGCTCACCCACCTACCCCAGCAGACTGAGCCTCCTTCTGCCGTCAAAAGCCCCACACGCGTGGAGCCACCTCTCCATCCGGACCGCACGCACACACACAACAACAACAACAACCGCCATTCGCCACTAAGTGGCGGTGACGTCACCACGACGCCTGTGCCAGGCCATGTGCACCTTTAGGCCACGTCAAGTGTCGAACGCCCGCTGGCAGGAGGTCACGGGGCAGACCCAGCAGGTGCCACGGGCCGACTGACTGAGATGACCGAGACGACTGGCTGATGCACCACCTGTACCCCCTACTGTGCCAACTTGCTGTGCTTTAGCCATCCGGCGCTCCGCTCGTTGTTATGAGCGTCGCTCCTCTGCCCTCCGTTGTTGTTGGAGGGCGACTGCCTCCAACTGCCCAGTAGCGTCGATCCTGACACCGCTGGTACCGGTCATCGGCAAGTCCACTCAGCTCCACGTCCTCCTGTACCACATCACTCCATCTCTTCTCTAGCCCGTGCCGCGCCCGTTTAGCCCCCTCGATCCGGCTGAACAAAAGCTGTTTAGGCATGCGGTGGCTGGGCATGCGGGCTACATGACCCAGCCAACGGAGCCTTGCCTGCCGGAGGAGCTCACCGATGGGACTTTGTCCAGATCTTTCAAGGATTTGTGAACTCCTCACACAATCCAGCCTGGTTAAACTCAGGATGGATCGTAGGCAGGCCAGCCTTAATGTTTCTAACCGGCGAAGATGTTCCATTAGGGAGGTCCGCGTTTCGCAAGCGTAGAGAAGGGAGGGAATGACCGTGGCCGAGAAGACCTTAAGCTTCGTGCGGAGCGACAGACCAGGCAGCTTCCACACAGCGTTACGCAACCGATGAAAAGATATTTCCGCTCGACTGATTCGCAGTGAGACCTCCGCTGCCAAACCGGAGCCGGTCATGAGCACACTGCCCAGGTATGGGAAACTCTCCACTCTTTCCACAACTGCCCCATCACCGATTGGGAGTTGTGGGTGTGGAGTGTCCGATGGCACAAAATACCCAGGCAGGTGCTTAGTTTTGGTGGGGCTGATGGTAAGGCCCCACCTCTTAGTGGCACACTCCAGTTTCAGCAAAAGCGTCTCTAACTCCTCTGAATGAGCAGCAATTACCAAATCATCTGCATACATAACGTGGTTGACCAATAGGGAGCCATCCCTTGACCGCACCCGGGCATCGATCAACCTCCCATTATATCTGTACCAAATGGAAATTCCCCCGGTACAGCTATTGAAGGCTTCACGAATTACGTGGTCAAAATAGATGTTAAATAATGTGGGAGCCAGAGGACATCCCTGTCGCACCCCAAGGTGTACAGGGAATGGCTCTGACTTCCGGCCACGTAGTTTTACCCGGGCCCGATCACCATCATGAAGGTCCTTAATGATCGTGAGCAGAGGGTCAGAGACTCCGAAAACACGAAGAACAACCCAGAGCCCAGGCCTACTGATGGTATCATAGGCCTTGACCAGGTCAATAAAGCAGAGATGTAGGTCTTGTTGGAATTCCCTACACATCTGCTGTAGCAGATGGACATAAAATATGGCATCCGTGCAGGACCACCCTTTCCTGAAACCGCACTGGGGCTCCGCAAGCCTCTCCTCAGCGTGCCTAGCAAGGCGATGTTGAATAATCCTTGCCAGGACTTTTCCCGGCACACTGAGGAGTGAGATGCCCCTGTAGTTGTTACAGTCGGTACGGTCCCCCTTCTTGAAGAGGGGGAC